GGGCACTGATTATTTTACTGCGTGCTCCTGCATGTATTCATACACTTAACCGGGTTTGGCACATTGTATAGGTAAGATTGGAAGCGGTATAGAGCTGTACCATGCTTCAAGTTCCAACTTGACGGCCTTGTCTGCTTGTCGGTGAAATGGAATCGGCCCTCTAGTGATTGAATGCTTACGATCATGGCTTCGTTGTATCCCGCGATGGAAGAATGAAGAGCATATATAAAGCACCGTACACCACCTCGAAGCTTCATCAACATCGGATCCTCATCAGTGTCTTGCAATTACAATACATCTTTACTTACACTCGACAAACACTTTCTCCCCAATCTTGAAATGGCACCCGAACAAGAGCCAAAAGGCTACCGATGGGACATCATCACAGCGGAAGAACTCAAATACGCTCCGCCGTACTTTCAAGATGTCCCAGAAACGACGACGGAGGTGGAGTGCAAGCTCAGCGGCGCCTGGCCCAAATGGCTCCATGGCTCTTTCCTTCGGTACGTCACCCTCCACCCTTCACATCTGCCCTAAATCCCCAACTAACATCAACTTCACCACAGGGTTGGCGTAGGCCGTTTCACAGTCCCCACCTCCGAAGACGACTCCACACCCCGAGTCATCATCCAGCACCTCTTCGACGGCCTGGCCCTCCTCCACAAATTTCGCATGACTGACGGTCGCGTGTATTACATGAGTCGCTACACTTCCAACGGAATAACGCGCGCCGCGCAGCGAGACGGCTACGTCAAGAACTCCTGGGTAGGACCGAATCCCAACACGCCTCTTTTCGAAGCCCAGGATCCGTGTTCGAAATTACTTGGAGCGCGTGTAAGTCTGATCATCCTCTCCTCCAGTCATGGTTATCCACGAGAAGTGATGGGAAGACTGACTGGTTTTCGGATGGATGTAGCAAACCGTTTTCCTGCCTCATGACTCCATCGAACCAGATGCTCTTAATGTTCATGTTCAGCCGAGACGTGGTATGCATCTACCGGAGGATAAGAATCCGAATTCGAGGGGTGTCAAGGCGGAAGATCCGGCTACGCAGGAGGTAAGACTATCCACATCTCCATTTCATGCCAGAAGAACGCGACGAAGCTCACCAAGAGACATAGATTCTCGTTCACACGGACTGGAACTGCATGCAAATCTGCGATGCGAAGACGCTCGAGCCAAAGCGTTTACTCTCTCATGCGGTCATCGATCCCGAGCTCGCTGGAACAGGTTGCTGTGCTCATCCCGTCCATGATCGCAAGCGAGGACAGACGTACAACTACTTGATCGACGCGACGGGGATTATGTATATTTTTGCGTTGGATGTGGTGGCGAATCCGGCGCGTCTGTTGTGGAAGTCGGCGCTGACGTGTAAGCCGTGCTACACGCATGCTCTTGCTATGACGGACAAGTATGTTGTATTTGTCAGGAACGTAAGTAGTAGTTCAGAAGGGGTGGAGCGGCGGGATGTGGATCGAATCTAACATGCCACCAGCCTGTTATATTGGATCTCAGTAATCCGAGCAAGACCCTCGTCGAGGCGATGGTATGCGAGCACGACTCCCCTGTGTACTTCTACGTCCTAGACAAGGCCGATGGCAAGGTGTAAGTTCTCTCTTTTCATCTCCAATCTGACTTACTAACACTTTACAGCATCGCATCCTACCAAGTCCCCAACTTCTACTTCTTCCACACAGCCAACGCCTACGACTACGTCGACCCCAAAACGGGACACACGAACGTCCATGTCGACATCGCGAGCTACAAGGCCGAACACTACCCGTACCACGAGTACGCCATCTCGAACGTCATCAACCCGCTCAAACCCTACCAGACGGGCCGCCTCGTCCGCTACGAACTCTCCGCCGTCAACACGCGCGATCCCGCCGTCGTCGCCCGCGGCACCGTCAAAGCCGCTATTCCAGACATGATGGCGGAACTACCTCGTATCTCCAAAGCCGCATCCATGGACCCAAACTACCGCTTCGTCTACGGCGTATCCGGAAACGGTATTTCCGCTCCAGGCACAGATGTTCCTATCGGGCGTCTCGGTAACGGCGTCGATATGCCACACGCGTCTTTCTACGGCCACCTCTTCAAGTCTGATTGGTGGACTGGCACGTTCAAAGCGTGGGTACCGCAGAATGGCGAGAGTTGTCCTACGGAGCCGATTTTCATTCAGAGGCCTGGTGCGACGGAGGAGGATGATGGCATTGTGATTACGATCACGATTAACAAGGAGGGGACGAATAGTATTCTTGTGGGGCTTGATGGGAGGACGTTCGAGGAGGTGGCCAGGGCGGATATGCCGCAGGTTTATGCGCTGGGGCCGCATGGGTCGTTTGTTGAGGGCGATTTTGGGGTTGTTGGTACTATGGGGCGAGACTAATCGCATCGTAGAGCGTGCAGAAGAGATCGTGGGAGACACTGGGCCGAACATACTTCCTGATGAGTGGCGTCTGTGTGTTGACAAGGTGGCTGCCGAGTTGCAGGATAATCATGAATGCGAGCATTCGCGACGCTTTCAGCGCATTTTCCATGGCGCACCCAGGAGAGGCTTCAGGTGCGAGATGTGCGATGCACGCCATCACAAGTATATCTTGCAGTGAAGATACTGCTATTTCAACGTTTGTGAGGACTGCTGTCGCAACCGCATCTGAGGACGGCCTTGACTCGTTGTGGCCACTCCCATCCAACGTTACATCTCTGTTGTTGGGGACGTTCTCATTCCTCTGAAGTCCGTCACCAAATGGACTTTCACTCATTAGATTAAAGCAACACAATCAGCATCTTATCTGCAAATTAGCCTCGTGCTCCGCAAGATTTTCTTTGTCCTCGTATCCGCCAGGGAGCAAGCGAGCACTCATATCCGGGTAATTCCACGGTACCGTATAAGTCGAAGCATGACTCTCTCTGTCAGGACATGCAAAAGACAACAGATTAAAAATCTCTCCCAATACATCCTTTCTCTTTCCGCAAACGATGTTGCTACGTGCAGTCTTCAACCTCGTAGTGTTCGGCGCATGCGTCGTTGGCCTACACCCAAGCAACGAGATCCGGCAGACGGATTGCGACGAGCTTGGAAACTATCCTCCGTACACCGGGCCATGTGAAGTCGAAAGTAAGCGCATATATGAGTCTCCGGCTCTCCGACGTTGAAGGTGCGCGACGCGCTGACTGCAAGCAAGACTGCGGCGCAGGGCGACTCAATTGCTTGAAGCAGGTACCGCCATACACCAAATGCGCTGGCTATCCGACTGTGGGTGAGTATGCATTTCCACGACAGGTGTTTTCATAGCTGATGAGGATGTAGGCTGTCCTTTCATAGGATGCGCGTGTACCAGGTAGGAAGGCTGGGGATGACATCATCAACGACGGGTTAGGCTAGAAGTGGCTTAGTGCCAGGGTTCGTTCTTTCGTCCATCCTTCGCAGGGGCGCGTCTTCTCTCTGTCTTTCGCGCTCGACCCTGAGAGGTCTCTGCCAAAACGCGGGACCTGACTCGCACATATAGAAGACCGCCATCTGGAAACTTGCCCCGTATCGATGCCCAGGCGAATATATTGCTTACACGATCTGAGAATGCGCGGCCAATCATTGAGCGAGCGCAAGCTGAACCCTCTTCCCCGCTGGTTGCCATTGTTCTCAGACTGCTGCCTGAATGAAACATAACAACATCGCATAATCTCGTCCTCCTTCTCAGTACTTCACCTATTCACGGGCCAGAAACATCACCCCCCATACGAACAGTCTACCAACGAGCTAGCCTTCGCTTGCGCTATCGAATCCAACATGGCAACGAAAACCCCGTTTGTCCGAACGTATAATACATCAGCCGATTATAAAGACGGACTCCACGTGGTATGCGTCACAGCATCGATTCATTCGTCACTGTCATCCTGACGAAAGCCACAGTTCCTGGAAACTATCGACCCAGGTCTTGACTGGGAGCCAGCGCGCACCATAGGCTTACGTCTCTGGTACAAAGCCTACGTTGATCTAACACCCGAAACATGCTACGTACTAGATGACGGTAACGGACGTGTGGTGGGTTATTGTATCGGCGCCGCTGATACAGCGTCTTTCGCGCAGCGCTGGCGCGACGTGTTCACTCCGACTATCGATCCGAAACTTGTGCCACCTCCGGATGCCCAGACCAATGATTCGCGGATGGAAAGAGAAGACGCTAGGCACTTTCGAAAGGCTGTATATGATGCGGACTGTAGTATGCTGCTGCCTTGGCCGCAGGTGTTGGAGCAATGTTCGGCGCATCTACATATCGATATTCTGCCTGAGTATCAGCGGAAGGGGTGGGGTTCTATGCTCATACAGCATTTCCTGGGTGCAGTTAAAACTTTGGGTGCGAAGGGGGCCCATCTTGACATGGTGCAGTCAAATACGAGCGCAAGAGCTTTCTACGAGAAAGTGGGATTCCAGGTTTGTCCGCATGTACTAGATGATGGAGCGAGTGGCCAGCCTGGTGTCAACGGCATCGTGGTCACATTGGTCATCAGTCTATGAGCACTTCAAGTATCGTCAACTGTGTCACTTATCCTATTGTTCTTCGCATCAGCTTGAACTTCGTTGCATGAAAGATCTGTGGGCTGTTTTACAACTGTCTACAACGTGGCCGTAAAGTCGCCGTCGTGTCGAACTACCCATACCTCGCGTAGTCTTTCTTGCGCCTGTTGCTCACACTAACCCTTCCAGCATGTTGAGAGATGTCAACGCAACACTTACGCAATGGCACTACTTAACTTTTCCAGAAGTCTTACGGAGACAACAGTCATCTCTGACCCCAGAGCTTCTCCCACGCTGGAAGTTGAGTCAGTATGATGCAGCGCAGCCATGCAGACAAAATATGTTCAGATGCCAACGGATCTGCTGTTGTCAGCCACTGTGACAGACTTTTGCGATCCAGATATATAACTCCCTCCTCCATTCCTTACATCCGGAACCAAAAGGCAGACACCGACATCGCAGAACCAAGAGACCTCCCGCAATGCCTCACGCAACCCAACATCCAGCTCTTGCGCTCGCCACCTCTCCCACGAAAACATCGGTTACGCCGAATGGTAAAGTTCGATCTGATAGCTTTAAGAGCGTTCACGAAAGGAAGGACCTGCAGCAAGCACATGCACTGAACCCACTCGACCCTTTTGAAGTTGACGGTACACCCGTGAACGAGTGTTCAACTGCAGCACCATCCGAATATGACCTCGAAGAGCTGAGATCAACCCTCACTGAAGCCAGGAAAACCATGTATGCTGCTATGAAGAGATACAGCGACCTACACTGGATCGGCGAGCTTATTTACGAGCTCCCAAGTTCACCTCAGGTCTATGCCGTCTCGGAAGCTCCAGTCGAGGAATCAGATCACCCAGCACGGGAGACCCTAGCGAAAGCGCCACTTCCTCGCGCCAAACCAGACCCTGTTTCTTACGACGAATTCATCAAGATGCTGGAAGATGGAGGCTTTACCTGGCTGCTAGAACACGTAGACAAACTCAACAGCATGGACGACTTCGCCGTCGCTCTCACTGCCAACCCCGAGCAAAAGCGCTGCATCGTTGGGCGACCAAGGGGTAAGATCTTGAAGAAAGAACAAACTGACGATCTTGAAAAAAGGATATGCTGTATGCATAAAGGTGGTGAAGATTTTCGTCGGCAGGTTGTTGACCACGGGCGAGACCCATGGAAGTGTTGGCCACCAAATGCTGATGAGGACAAGGAAGTGGTTACGAAGTAAGGCATTTATGAACTTCATTCTGTCGTGTTGCAGATGATAATCATGTGGCTCAAAGGGTTCTTAGATTATCTTTACTATCAATCCATCTCTAAGCCCCACATATGTCCTGTTATATGACGTACGTCGGCATCCACAGCTGTACATTTCATGGTCTCACTTTGAGTAGTATTCGTATCGTAAGATTTGCATTCTAGTCCCAAAGTCTAGCACATACATGTGTACTTAGGTAAGATATAACACAGATACTTGTTCCCAAAAGTTACAGTCCTCCTCCTCTTCCCTTGACGCCTGCTCCGACGAACGCATGGCTCTCCACATAAAAGCTTCACATGCAGCCTGCGTATCAGCAACCCCAGAAAGGCCCGACGTGAAAAGCGGTGAGTACCATTTCATCTCCGCAGCATCCCTTGGCGCACGAGGCCCATCCTCAAAGACATCGTTGTTCAATTCGGCAACTGGTTCGCCACGTGCGTCTGTAGCTTGGCTAGCGTTACCGTGATATGGGCTCGGGATTGTCGCGTGTCTAGGTCTAGAGTCGGGGGTAGTCGAGGTCGCAGAGGCCAACGGAGACGCATTGTCGGGTGTTGTTTCGATGTTGGTATGTGATGTCGCGGAGGCCGATGAAGACGCATTGTCGGGTGTCGTTTCGGTGTTGGTACCGGACGTTTGGCTACCACTCGATGGTGAGTCGGGGCTTGGGTTACGGTCATTGCGTCTATTTGGTAAGCGATTGTATGCTCTTCTTCCTCGGCGCCTCCTTCGTCTGGGCATTTTGGTGTAGTGTTATCTTGGTTGACAGTTTGTTGGCTTGAAGAAACAGTTGCAGCTTTTCTAAATATTGGTATGATGTTTACGAGAGCACATCGCGTCGGTTCTTATACGGCAACCCAAAATGTGTCTCAGACATAAATCTCACTAAGACAATTCGTACATACATCATGGAATCAGACAAGTGTCTCGTCCAAAACGACCGATTGCATACCGAGAAACAATCCAAAGCCTCCAGGGATAGACTGCATCCTGGTATGTCCGCTCTGCAGAAGCCCTAACACTCATCCCAAAAGCCTACCCATTGTATCCTCATCCATCTAGCCCTATCGTGCATCACCAACCCCCCTTCTCCGATGTGCATGCCTGACCACAACACTCACACCCCTCCTCCTCATCTCATTCGCTACAATCTCCGCTGCCGCAACGCTTCGATGTGTACCTGCGTGGCATGTAGTCTGTATCGATGCGATCTGGTTTCCAGCATTGAGATAGTTCGCTATAGCGGTGATGGCTTTGTTACTATAGTGTCTCAGATCAGCCAGCCGTCTGCTACCTAGGAACCTGAGTTGTTCCAAACAGTATGGTAATGGAAAATATAGAAGGGCGAAGGGTGAATAACTCACATTTCCCCCATCGCCGTCCGACTGCCCAGTATAAACTGTTGCACTTGCGGACTTACGCCGGTATACCTTTCACATATCTCGCGGGGTGGGGCACGCCATTTATGGCAGTATATTGTGAGGAGGACTGGGACGCCGGCGGGTGTGTGTTGGAGGAGTTGTGCTTCGGCGTTTGGGTGATGTTTGAGGACTTCGGTCGAGTAGGAGAGGATGTAGAGGGTTTTCTGGACTGGTAAGGGGGGAGGTGGTATGAAGGGCTGGGGATGCAGAAGAGCGGGTGGAGGTGGGAGGATCACTGGCTGCTGGAAGTGCTGTTGCGGTGGTAATAGAGGTGGTAGCGGTGCAAGTAGAGGGATTGGTTGTAGTGGCATTGGTATTGGCATTTGCATCTGCGGGATCGCTTGCACGAAGGGCTGAAGAGGGAACATCTGCATGTGTGGATATATTGGAAACATAGCTGATGATGTCTGTACTAGAGAAACGTAGTATGGCACGCTGGTTAAGAAGTCTACTTCGCGTATACAGCCATCCTGTGAAGACGTCGCAGTGCTGGTGAAGCGCGTCAGTGACCATCAATGACCTTCAATCAGAAGGGCTATGTCTGGTACATTGCGTATGTCCGTAGACTCATCAGTGTGAATGGTACAACCAGCAACTTGCGGTTGTGCATGATGAATGTGCAAGTTCTCAACACGCACTGTCGGACTCTCTGTCTCCGCTTTGCGGACAAAGAATGTCCGTATGTAAGCATGTCAGCATGTAAGCATTACAGTTTCGGTGTACTCTTTCCATGTACCAAATCAGAGCACTAGCACAACCGTCACACCGGATCTTCAGAAGGCCAGCTGACCGCTACCCCTTCCATACGTCACCTTCTCAAACAGCTACGCCACATCAACCCCAACGCTATCCACACCATGACCTCAGAGTTGAGTCTGTACCCCAGGACCGCGATAGTCGCCGTCTCGTCACGAAGTCCAAGTATCAGCTTCCCCATGCAGTAAGTTCTGCATACAGATAGGGCTGCATAGTACCACACGTGGCGCCAAAAAGTCCCGACCGACTCCACGCCAACCTTCCAGCCTGCTTCTACACCCATCCTTCGAAGCAAGTAACCGACCTTCCTTGATCCTCCGCATGATCCTCCGCTTGCAAGCTTCCAGCGGCACAGTATCAAACGAGCCTATCGCTTCACGCATGCAAGGAGTCGCTCAAAACTTGGCAACGTCCGCGAAGGCGGGTCAAGAACCTTGGAAAGAAGCCTAGGTACCGTGCCGCAAAGATCCTACCTGCACGCCCCAGCCGTGCATTGAACAAACTGGGCAGCATCTGGGCGGCTATCACGCCAATGAAACACGTCAAACGGCATTCGTGGGAATAATAGAAGGAAGAATAGGGTGATGGGTAAGCGAATTGTGGGAGGCTGGTGTGGTTGCGCTGCGGCTGAGATTACCGCTTTGGGACTGCGGCGTAGTCGATGTGATACCGAGTTGCTGGGTCACCTTTGGAACCTTCCTAGGAAGGATCGTGAATCTCGTATCGAACGTCAATGAATCCTTCCTCGGTGGCTACCGAAATGAGAGAAGTGAAATTGCATGATTCTAGAAGCGAGGGAAATCGTTCGATCATCGTTCTGGGAGCGGAGAGGGCGGCTATGATGAAGTTACGACATGGACCATGGTGTTGTGCGTGCGCAAATCTGGATTGGGCGTCTCGGATCGAAGCGAGCAACGCCAATCATGACATATGCGCTTTTCTGGTTTCCTTGCATTTGTTCCTTGCCTTGCCCTATCTAGATTATGTGAGTTCAACGAAACATGTTACAACCACAGACTCGGTACCTATGCATCTTCTATCGCACAAATTACTCCTTCTGAGTTGATTCATCAACCCAAGACTGAGGTCGTTACATGATTCACAACTTTCCTTCACCTCCTCCTTGGAGCACATCGCGTACGAGCTTGAGGCCTTGCACGGCAAAGGCCACCATGTTGGCTTCGCGCTCGCTGCTCCCCGTCTCCGCTTCTCGAGTCACTGTCTCCCCGCCCTCCCGTGCCACGGCAAGCGCTACGTAGCCTGGTGTGCGGTTACGAGTCGTTCCCCCTGTCGGCCCTGCGGTTCCGCTCTCGCTGATGGTATACGTGCTTCCCAGTGTCTTACGCGTGTGCTCGGCGAGGCCAGAGACGATGGCAGGGGTTGGGCCGCTGTAGGATTTGATGGTTTCCTGTGTCCAGCCGCAGTATGCGATTCGTGACTCGAGTGTGTACAGGGTAAGACCGCCGCGATAGTAGGTCGATGCGCCGGGGAAGGAGAGGAGTGCTGCAGAGATGAGACCGCCTGCTGCCTGGTTGGAGTGGTTAGTAGGTGGCTTTGAGTTGGACTGGGGGGTCTTACTGTCTCTGCTACCGAGATGGTCTCTTTGCGCTCTTTGAGGAGTGTGGCTACCTCTTGGACGATTTGCTGGAGCTCTTCAGGCGGGAATATGGGTGGTGACATTTTGAGGTATGTTGGATTGGGTAGTTACGCTTCTTCTCAAACTTGAAATTTAAGCTTCAATTGTATACAAACGTTCTTGTGTTAATAATTGTATCGGAGTTATGACGGACGTAGTCGCTTTCGGTGGGGTATTTCGAGGTTGTGACGTATGCGGGGTAGCTTCCAAGGTTCCATTACACCTCCAACCGTATAGATAGTATACCGAAATATTGTACATACAAAGCCAGACACAATTTACTTTAGACATCGAAAGCGAACCTCTCTTCTCCCCTCTTCATCAATCTGATTGGTATCGAGACGCCCCTCAACTGCAGCGTGATGATACTCGCCATCTTGGTCTGGATCAGGTCCTGGGCTCTATCCGTAGCCATCTTGTATAGATCTCTTCTCTCCTTGCCTCCCTTTGGCATCTTCTCCACCTCTTCATCACAAGCAAAGTCATCGACTGCGAGTTCAACGCTGTACTGAGAGAAGATCGCGGCCAATACCGCGAGAATCTCCACTTGAGCAAAGCGTCGACCAATGCATGATCGGAAGCCGTCGCTAAAGGGGATGTATGAGCCTTTGACGGGCTTAAAGAGGTCAGATGAAGTGTCTTCGCCTGCTGGTCCACGTAGCCCTTCATCGTCATAGTTGATGTCAACGAAATCGTTATCGGGCTTGCTATCCGCGAGCCAGCGTTCAGGTCTGAATTGGTCTAGGTCGTCCTTGCTTGAGTCATCAGATGGTGTTGGCCAATACTTTGGGTTGCGATGTATGGCTGCGCTGAGGAATACGTGAGCGTCGCCAGGCACCATATACTGCTTTCCCCCGATATTCAATGGCTGTGGTCGACCCGGTGGAGTAGACTTCGGGATGTTGATGATTGGTTGCAGCAGCCGTAAAGTTTCGTTCATGACTGCCGCTGGCATGCTTCCGAATAGCTTTTGGAAGTGCTCTTCATACTTCCATTCGTCGATGGGCTTGCCCGCAAATATGTTGTCGATGTCGTCTTGCAGCCGCTTCTGGGAGCCCCAGTTCATGGCGAGGAATACCATGGAGAAATGTAGTGTGTTGGCAGTTGTTTCGTGGCCCGCCAACATAAGCACAAATGCATTACCCAGCAGGTCGCTCTTCGTGAAATTTGAACCCTCTTTCTTGGTGATGCCGCTTCCGCGGATCAGAGAGTCAAATATGTCCATGTTTGCTTGAGTCTCGCCGAACTCGACTTGGGTCTTCTTCATTTCATAGATCTCATCCATGTACTTACCCCATTCGTGGGCCGCATCGCTGACTTCACGATGCATTTTGACTGGAGATCGTGCTACGAGAAATTGTTAGATGACATATACAACTCGACGCGGTGAAGTAGTAATAAGAGGGAACTTACCAAGCCACTTAAGTGGCATGACTTGGGTCCACATGATGTTGTGTAGCAGCTGGCTTAGAGCGGCCCTGTAGCTCATGGTGTAGCCAGGAGGGGCTTCCGATCCTACAAAGATAGAGTCTTCGCTCTTTTTGTCCTCCACTTTCTTGCCCTCTTCGTGTGGCCATACTACGCGTACGTCGAAACCCGCTCCACTGATAACATAGAGAGCAAAGTTCATTGCCGCAACGGAAGGATCGGCAATAGTCTCATTGCCATTACCGTCGGATCCGGCCCACAATCCCAGCATCGATTTTGCGTGATGGAGAGTCTCGTTGAACACGAGCTGATTGTTCTTGTCACCGAAACTTGGTGCGACAAGTTTGCGATGTGTGCGCCAATCTGATCCTTCAGTACTCACCAGATTCTTGCCGTAAATGTCCAATGACGTGTACATCTCAAGGGGCTTGGGAAAGTCATTGCGGCGGGTGGTAATCTGAGTCACGGCTTCCGCGTCTGCAACAAAAACTACATTTCTGGTAGGAGATGCGACCATGAAGACGTCCATACCCATCTTCTCGAAAGGCCCATGTCCGGTCATGTAACTCCATTCTGGATTCAGAAGACTGCAATATCCAATTAATACCTCGCCTGATGTCAAGTCGAATTTACGTACTCAAACCACATGCCTCGCCATGATTGTGGCAGAAATCTCTCCAGTAACGGCAACCATAGCTTGAACGTCGACAGCCATAGGATGCTGAACGTATACCATGGCGCTACCACTACAGGTAGTCCCGAGCTCTTTGCTAGCGCGATATTGCGTTGCAGGCCCCGATACTTGGAGATTATCTGATAGATGGCAAAGCTCGCAATGACGCTAAAAACCAGGGTGGCAACCATGACGTTGTTTCGTCGGGAGGACTCCAAGCTCAAAGTGAGGCTATCGACACAAGAAATTGAGATCCGCACGGTCTCGCACTATCGAAGGCGCTGTCGTGAGGACGGTGAAGACGGTGCAGTGGATGGGTATTCGCCTTCCAGCGTGCAGAGGGGTTTGTGACGTATACATACGCGCGATCAATTTTGCCTCACAAGCGTTTCAGGGCCTCGGCTAGGGAGGATCGCTAGCAGATGCATCTCGCGTATGCGTGCTATATGCAACAACTGGCGGTACATTGAGGAATACGGATGAAGCCGTCGTCTGATAGGCTGTGCTCACAAAATCGCTGCTCGTGTGGTGTTGCAATGCCATAGAGGTCTGCGTCATCAGTCATCGCTTCCGAAAAGGGCTTGGCGCCTTCGAATCGACGTGTTTCCTCATATGTACCAGTTGTGTGACGCTTGCGCTCACCACGCATCTGCGAAACACAAAACATGAACGTCTGATCTAATCGTACCACCAGGGGATGGGGACCGCTGGGAGGTGCGCGCTCGGCTGCAAACTCTGCGGTTCGTACGACGTCGTAGGACATGGCTCCGAGGAGCAGCGTCCAGGCAATACTCGCGCGCACCGCCTGGTGGACAGCGAGCAGACGAAGGTTCGCGTATAGCGTATATCGTCACTTGCGACGTCACAGGAATCCTTCCGTCATTGTTGACTGCAATTGTGTCAGCGCGTGCACTTGGATCTTCAGACGACAAAGCGAATGCGTTCGTTCCATGGATACGACTCACGGTTCACCGTGTCGCGCCGCTTTGCCGATTCACCAGCCCCCTCTGCATGTTGTTATGCCACATGCGGCAGGCATGAGGACAAGGGCTACTACATCACTTGCCGTCTAGGGAGTTTGAATTTCTAGAAGCGTTGTTGCTCCGATCGATGGCGAGGCTTGGTATGCCGTGTCGCAGAGTGAAGCGACTACACCGACTCGACGGCAACTTCTCGACACGAGATTGACTCGCTTCTGCGCCGTCTTTTGGAGAGGTAGTCCAAGGGACACCCCGTTTTTCTACTGGACGCCTCATGCGTTCCACGTGGTAGAGCGACAGCCGCCAGGATGCTGTAAGCCAGGGTGTTCCCACGAGGGTCGCAGGCCGGCCTGGCTTAGACAATCTCGGTTGTGGGGTGTCGTCAATCGGACAGGTCCTCTCACGCATCAATCATCTAGTCTGAAGCAGACCGCAACTTGCCATAGCGCCGGTGAGCAGCAGGGCCGGGCAGAGTCGGCTCGTCATCTGACAAACTGGCTCACTGGCTATCTCTGTTCGGAGCTTAGCAGCAAAGGCACTGCTGTTTTGGATTGATGTCGCCGGGCAGCTGACCGTTTGTTTGCGGCAGGCCCTTCACGGCCGAGTAACCAGGTTACCTGAGCTTGGCCGTGTTGCAAGGGTGTCGAGGGCACTGCGGCGTGCACAGTACCGACCTACTCCAAGTGCACAATGGAGGGGTCTAGCAAATGTTCCTGACGCCATACTGGCGGTCGCGTGTTGCGGCGCGCTAGTTATTACCACTGACTTTGGAGCTCATGAAACTAACGACAATAGAATTGGCCGGCGCCTCTCCGGCACCTGCCATGAGCAGCAGCCGCGATTTCCCTAGCAGACGAGGCGGACAAAAGGGTGATGCAGTTGTACACACACTACCTCGCCATGTGCCACCAGACTGCCTACAGGCGTCTCGCCAGGATCTGCAGCCCGGAAACGCAACGCTGATCTTTGGGCAGCAGAGTCGCAAGTGACAGGTCCTGTTCGCGGAGACTCGGCGCGTGAGTCGCTGCGACTCCAGCACGAGCGCGAAGCTTCAGGTAAGCAGAGGGCTGCGGGCGCAGGAAGAGGCGCGGCGGCGTCGCGAGATATCGTCTGCAGCCACCAGCAGCGCATCACTTCCATCAACCTTCTCGAATGCCTCGGTGCCGCTGCAAAGTGGAGGCTGGCCGACTAGGGATCGTGACTAGCTGGCCTCAGAGCTCGGATCAGTTTCCTGAGTCTTCAGGGCCAGCAATTGGGCGGAAATTATCCGACTACAGCTGCTGACGGCCGGCACGATGGTTGTTGCAGGGCGGAGGACCGCGCATCGCCGCACGAGACAGCGAGCACCGTGACTGTCACATCGCCGGCGCTGGTGTTGCAGCAGCAGCAAGTCATTATTGCAAGTAGACGTGTCGCCAACGGCTGCAGACGGCGGCCAAGTAGCAGCAATGGATGCGCGGTCGCGTCGGGCGGGAGCAACGTTTGCTGTCTGCAACGGCATCATCCTATGGCACATGACGGGCTCTGGCAGCGCGCGCTGTTTGATACAACGGTCCCCATGTCGTCCTTGACGATGGCCACACAGCGCGTCTGGTGGCTCCGCGCTGCTACCCTGGTCTCGTAGCCTGGTCAATGGCACAAGCGACCTGTGTGCTGCACATCCTTCGCTTTCGCGCTAATACGCCGCCTTTGCATCCTCGTCCATCTCTCCAGGCTTCGGTATGGTGTTCTCCCCTCCCGACACGCCCATCGCCCACCACAACCCCAACCGTCACCACGGCTAACTCGCACTGCTGCCCTCCACCACCGCCCGTGTGCCTGACCCAGCGCTGACCCGCCTCCCGCCCCCCGTCGCGTCTCGCTTTGAGCTGTTCCTTTTTGCGACTGATTTAGTTTCGCGCCTCTTGTGATTGCGCCCTGGCCCCTTCGTTCGCACGGCCCGGTCTTAATAGCGCCACTTTTCGCCGACCAAGCCAGCAAACGTCGACAGCATAGACCGTCCGCGACTCAGCTATTTGGGCCTTACCTGCTTCGGATAGTTGTCTCCGGCTCCATGGTAAGAGAGTCTTGCCCAAGGCTAGGTCCTTTCTTCGCGCACGCGGCATAGGAAAGCTCCCGTCCTGCATCCCACTCTGGCCTCCGAGCACTTGCCCTGCGACGCTTTCCAAACTCTTCCCCTCTTCCAGGCGATGACGCGGGTTGGGCTGTCATCTGCAAATCATCTTTGACTTCCCATTCGCTGACTCTGGCGAATTGGTCTTTTCCTGACCCTGCGACTGCCGAGGCCGCCCTCTCCACCACCTGCCCACCCCCCGCGACCTTCCTGGCTTTTGCCGTTTGGTGGTCCTGGGACCATCCGTTTTGCCCAGTAGTCGTCTGTCATACATAGCCGCATGGCCATAGCGGATTCCGTCTGGCATATCTAAGGATGGCTGATCCTGACGCGCCCGGCCAGTCTAAGAGAGCTCGTTTGGGCTCCGGCAATCTTGATCATCCGCAGTATAACGGCCACGGATTTCCACCCCCTCCTCCACCGCCTCATACCCAACCCACTCGACCTCCATCCCATCCCACTTTGGTCCAGGCTTCTCCCCCCTACGCTTCTCACGGCTTACCGGTTCCGTCTGCCCAGTACCCTTCTCACGTTCAAGGCTATCCCGGACCGCTACCTTCACCGTCCCTTCCGCCATCTGATATTCGTGCCCTTGCGGACCCACGGAACATACCCTCACCTCGTCAGCATTCCAATGGCGTTACTGGAGCATCGCCTGTGACGATCCCCCAGGACCGAATCAACAGCTACCGTCCCCCACTCACACCTCAGACAACCACTGCGCCAGAGCAACACAGTTCCCGGTCTACCAGCGTCAGTATCAGTGTCGACGTCAAGTCTCAAAGTCAGACTCCCATGGAGCATGGCGGCCACCACCAGCCGTGGGCAATCAACCACGAGCATCGCCCCAATGGCAGCATACCAAATGGATACAACCACGCCATAAGTCCATCACACCCCAACGGACCGCCATATCATGTCCAGCCTCCACCACCTGTCCAGCAGCAGTATGCCGCTCCTGCTACGCCCTACGCGCAGACTCCGTACATGAACGACTATGGAAACGCGCAACAGATACGGCGAAAGCAGGTGCGCGCCACCCAAGCGTGTAACCACTGCCGTTCGCGAAAGCAAAAGTGTGACGAAGCACGACCGTGCCAGTTCTGCAGAGAGAACAACTTCGACTGCCAGTACAAGGACGTCCCGCCACCCAAGTGCGTTGCTCCCTCCCCCCTTTGGTTCATCGCTGACCCACCCTAGGCAAGACAGAAGCATGATGCAACTTCAAGAAAGCGTTAACAGCATATCTGAAGTCCTGTCGCAGTTCGTGGACCAGTTCAACGGCTGGAAATCCAGTGTTGAGAGCCGGCTCCCACAGCCGCGAGACCACGAGATGATGTCGAATCACGCTTCGCCCGTAGCTTCTTTCTCGGCACCCCCGAGAGAGCACGGCACATCTAGATGGCCTACTCCCATACAGGGAAGAGGACACATGGGCCGGGTCAACAGCAACCTGAAGATGGAGTCTCCCATCGCTCCTCACTCGAACATGATGTCGCCTTTGGGCGGACAAGCGTCGGCATCCATCAAGCAGGAGTCTCAGTTCGCGCCACCTCCCCAGCAACCGGCCACACCAGCCGAGAGTGTAAGGACAGACCGCAGCCATGCCACTGAAACCAGTCCCAAGGAACAGACCGGTCTGCAAGGTGACCACACCACACCTGCGCACAAGCTGCTCGATGAATGGCAGCAAATGAGCATTTTCTATCAAGGTATTCCTTATCTACGAAGGCTAATGGACAACGGTCGTGAAGTCTCGGACTACCCGATGCAGCTTGAGCAGGATCGCGGTCTGTTGCGCGTCTGGGGTGTTGGCGAGGGCCAAGACCTAAACGACGGAGCGCAGGGACCCGGAAGCCCGGAGAGCAGCAACGACTCCGAAGCCGCATCGCCAGCACCTGGCAAAGAAGGCCTATGGGGCTATCCATTTTCTCCAGACGCCGGTTCCGTAAAGACTCCGATCGGCACACCTCGAGAGTACTTCTCCCATCAGCCGCGGCAAGCCACTAGCAACGGGCTTGGTTCAGATGGTCGGCCCGACTTCTCGCGCCCAGTCATGTTCGAGTTGCTCAGGTCCTACATGGAAACGATGCACATA